GCCCTGTAGATTATCTAGTCCAACTCCATCTAGTATGGGAATCCATTACTGCAACTTCTCTTCTATTCACCTCTAATGAAGAAGGGGTCTCTGCATTTTAGAGCAGCCTACTCCATTTTGAACAATACTTAACATTACTTCCCCCCTCCCAACTGCCAGATAAAATCTACTTCCTTGTAACTTAAATTAATCATTTATTGTCCTGTCTTCTGGAACAACTCTGCTCTATTTTCTCTAGAGGAACCTCAAATACTTGAAGACAGCTATCATGTCTTCCTGCAGCTTTTGCTTTTCCAGATTAAACATGCCAAGCTCCTCTAAGTGTTCCATATAAGTTTTTTCAAAACTTTATGGACCCCTTCTGACAACATTGTGCTGCCCCCATCGTGGACCACAGGTTGACAACCACTGCTTTACACTGTTGTCTCATTATCAACTGATGATCCACCAAGACAGTCTGATCCATTTTGCGTATCTGTTACCCAAGATCCTTCCCCCTCACAATCCATATTCATGCCTTTAATTTTTCCTATCCTAAAAGGATCTTGTGTTTGTCATTATTAAATATAATCTTATTAGTTTTCACTCATGTTCTGGCTTTTCAAGAGTCTCCTGAATGTTCCTAAATTTTCTTTAAATCATCCCTTCTTTTTTTCTACTGCAAATTTGATAATACTATTTTCTAAATCCTGGCTCGCATTGTCTATATACCTCCCTGTGCTATGCTATTCAACTCTTTCTTCCAGTGTGGTATATATTTACCCATTGAGAACAATTGTTTAAAGAATATTTTTAGCTGTAAACCGCCCAGAATCACTTACCGTAGATAGTGAGATGGATGTTGCCTAAACTTGATAGATAAAAACATTAAACTGGTGTAAAGTTTGTAGGAAATCCATATTTTCCCATTTTCTCTACTGGTATAATATGGAATTTTTAACAAATCTTGCTGAAGTCAGATACAGAAGATCTATAATATTTCCATGGTTTATTAAACTGATCGCTCTATCCAAAAAGGAGATCAGTTTGGTTTGGCATGACTTGTTCTTGACAAACCTATGTTGGTATCTAGTATCTATCTAGCATGCTGGTAATCTAGTATCTAGTATCAGTGTCAAGCTGATTACTCTGTTAATTATTCGAGTCTTAAGAACATTTGCCTATTTCCAGTTTTTTGGCATGACACTTTTACTCTATGATTTCTCAAAGATAAAGAAAGGGACTGAGGTGGCATCTGCAAACTCCTTTAAAACACTTGGCAAATCATTTTAGGATATACAAATATGACAGTTACATAGCATTAATCAATATCTCATTAGAGCTTGGTACATATTTTGAACACTGTTACTGACATTAATATGTGTGAAGCCAAGCATAAAAACTTAGAAGTAATTCTGGTAAATAAACATACACAGAGACACTACTGTAGTTATGTCTTAGGAATGGCATACCTGAAAAAATCAATTTAAAAAATTGGACTAGTGAGAATTTGTCACTAAATAATCTAACTACATCAATCCAGTCTACACAGGATTTCATTTAATATATACTTAAATGATAAAGTATAAATCTTCAAAAGAATTAATTTCATTGCAGGTAACTAGGTATGTTGGAGCATTCTTTTAATAACTCTGAAAAACTGGCTTCTTAGTTTCTCAGAAACAAGTTAAAAGATGTTGTTTTATTTTGCAAACCATTATATTAAAATCTGCAAAATGCTTACATTGCTTTACTAACTATAACCCACATATTCATCCTATTCCTCCAAACCTCTACTGCTTATATGAATAGCAAATTCCTGTTGAAGAAGTATTTACTGAAGATTACGTAACGGGAGAGGATTATAATTCAAAGACTAAAAATAATGAGGAAACAGATTATGGAAACAGAGGAGTAGACCACAGTGAAGCTGAAGTTGTGGTAGATGGAGATTTAGGCGAATATGATTTTTATGAATATAAAGAATATGAAGAGAAACCAACCAGTCCTACTAATGAGGAGTTTGGGCCTGGAGTTCCTGCAGAGACTGATATCACAGAAACAACCGTAAGTTGGATACTTCTGAGACAGTCTTCAAAGATGCTTAATGGCTAGCAGTTTTTTTTATGGGTGTCTATATTTTCTATCATTTAACTAGAGATGGAAAATGGAAAGGGAATATTTTCAGGTAGTCCTCACTTAACAATCACAATTGAAGTCTGAATTTTGGTCAAAAGGTATTGTGGTCATTGAGTGGGTCACCATGGGTCCTGACTTGATTTCACAACTGTTTTTTAATGACAATCTCAAGGCACTGACCACAGTTATGAAGAGAATTATGTGGTTGTTAAGCAAGCCATGTGGTGCTTAAGTGAATCTCCATTCTCCAACTGGTGATTTTTGCCAAAAAAACCAGGATAATTGTTGCAAATTGTGGTCACATTACCACAGGACACTGCAATCGATTGTAAATATGAGCCAGTTTTCAAGCATGACAAACATAACTTCAAGGATGGATTGTAATTGTTTTTGAAATCCGTTATAATTTTGAACAGTCATTAACATGAGTGGTTGTTAAGCGAGGACTACCTGTATATATTTCCATAAAAATGACTTGGCTAAAAAACTGATTTTCAAAAAAATAACCTAATATGAATATACAACTCTGAATTTGGGAGGTCTCATCCACTTCACATTGCCTGTGATCATCATTTATAACCTTCCCAGCTGGCTTCCCAGAAACAAAGTCAGTGGGGAAGCTAGATTCGCTTAATGACTGCATGAGTCACTTAACAATGGCAATGATTTGCTTAACTGTGACAAAAAAGGTCATAAAATGGAGCACAATTCACTTAGCAACTGCCTTACTTATCGATGGAAACATTGAGCTCAATTGTGCCCGTAAGGTGAGGATTACTTTAAATAAGTAAGACTGTAAATAAGTGGATTTCTGCTCCCGCATGCACAAATGGCTGAATATACAATTTGTATTTACAAACCATTTGTGTTTATGATTGCTTAATTCCCACAACTAAAACTTAACAAACTTAAGACTGTGCGTGTACGCTCGCGTGCGCACACTCACACACACACACATATAAAAAAACCCAGCCTGCCACAGTCTTTTTTGAATCTATAGAACAACAAATGTTAGTAGTCACAAAGTGAAAATCACAGATTTAACTTTTAGAAAAGTAGTTTTCAGGATTCTTTTTTAAGGAGAAAATGTTATCATAAGAGGCCTTTGTAGTATAGACTGCACTCCACTGTTAATATTAATATGAAGGAAATAAGCAAACAGATACTATATAGAAAGGGACCGCATTCAGTGGATGTTTACATCAGAGCTGTTGATTTGGATGGATTCTGCTAAACTATTTTGTTTATCACTTTGTTAATATGGGGAACTACTTTGTTGATCAAGTAAATCACACACTTTATATGCTCTGTCCCAGGCAACTCCAGATAGGATTGAGTTTCTGTCAGTGCAGTTAAGGCTGGATAGAAGCTTGTATAGATATAAAGCAATATATTAATCTCCCATGGAATTTAGGAACTCACTTGCAGATTTTGAACAGATCAAAGCATTCAGACTTATGGCATGCTTTGGTTTTGTGAAGATCTAATGAAAGACCATAAGGGATGCGGTGGCTCAGTAGCTAAGATGCTGAGCTTGTCGATCAAAAGGTCGGCAGTTCAGCGGTTCGAATCCCTAGTGCCGTGTAACGGGATGAGCTCCCGTTACTTTTCCCAGCTTCTGCCAGCAGTTCAAAAGCATGTAAAAAATGCAAGTAGAAAAATAGGGACTACTTTGGTGGGAAGGAAACAGCGTTCCATGCGCCTCTGGTGTTTAGTCATGCTGGCCACATGACCGCGGAGATATCTTTGGACAGTGCTGGCTCTTCGGCTTCAAAAAGGAAATGAGCACCGCCCCCTAGAGTCAGGAACGACTAGCACATACGTGCGAGGGGAACCTTTACCTTTAATGAAAGACCAATAAATTCTAAGATTCACAGAAAGTTCTCAGAAACAAGGTGTTTAAGTCTTATTAAATATTATGGTTCTTTGCACAGTCAGCCAGATGATTAGACTGAATTTAGCATTTTTTGACTACCCATGGAACCCTTTCCAAGGACCTATTGTTGTTGTTGTTACCTATATCCTTATATATTTGTGCATTGATTCGGTAGGTGAATGGCCATCATGCATATGGAGAAAAAGGACAGAAAGGAGAAGCAGCTGTCATTGAACCAGTGAGTATGCTATTTTATATATTATGTACAGTACATATATTATATAAAAATAATAATAAAATGTTATATACTGTATAAAATAAATATACAGGCAAGTCTAACAACCAGAATATATGAAGTGCAATTAAAAATATAGCAGGGTTAATAAAATCAGAAAAAAAAATAGAACAATGAATAACTGAGCAACATGTGTAAAAACTAAAAATATATCCATAAAATGTTAATACAACAGAAGTTCAATTTTTAATGTATTATTACATTTAAACATATTATTAATCATTTATAGCTCCTTCTCAGTTTTAGTACAATATGTTACTTCATCACAATGATATTTATATACTATGCTTAGATTCTTAATATACTATTATGTAGGTATCCAATTCTTGCTTTGGACCTAGATGTGTCTCTCTTCATTTCCTTTTGAGATTTTCTTTTTTCTTTTCCCTGAAAGTTTTATTTAGATTTTTAAAATAAACCCAGTCGAACATTCCCAGTGCTCCTCCTCCTCCTCCTTTTACCAAAACAAGTTTTTTTTTTGTAAAAGAGCGTTGAAGGAAACTGCCTGATTGACATCAGATTTTGAATCAGTGGGTTTGTCTTTAAGGGTTGGGTCTCCATTACTGCATTATTTTAAGGCATGTTTAAGAATACCGCTTCACCTAGGAAGCCTTGTAGGCTCCATCCCCCCCCCCAACACACTTTGCCATAAATGGGCATTTCGTGCTTCCGAGATGTTGCAAGCATCTCAGCTCTTTATTATTCTATTACCTGTTCAAAGATAAGTCTGGGAAAAGCAGGAAGCACCAGCAGAGACAACTTGATCATTATTTTGAATCATCTTTTTTGTGGGAATGAGTTTTATAAGAGTAGATCATAAATGCTGTACTTTTCTTATCTGTGGGAGTTTTCTTCCAATTTGCCGCTGTTTCTCAATTTTAAAATGTTTCTTTCCATCTTTTGTCAAAATTACCACTTCTGGCAATAGTTATTTTCACTATCTCCTTTAGGAGGAGCATAGTAATACGAGATAGCTGCTAGCCTAGATAATGGCAAAATATAAAATATATCATCCAAAATTGAATTCACATCAATAATAGAGAAACTTTGTTTTTTTTTAAAAAAAGTACTCCAATGAATGTCTGTCTCCCCAGGTTACTGTTAAACCTTTTTCTGTGGCTCATGCTAGATCAGGGGTAGCGAACGATGGGGCCTTTATGACTAGTGGACTTCAACTCCCAGAATTACTGAGCCAGTATGACTGAGCATAGCTGGCTCTGGAATTCTGGGAGTTGAAGTCCACAAGTCATAAAAGGGCCATTGATCCCCACTCCTGTGCTAGATCCTTCTCTAACAGTCTGAGGAACAGAGGTGGGTTTCAGTAGGTTCTGGCCAGTTCTGGAGAACCGGTAGCGGAAATTTTGAGTAGTTCGGAGAACCGATAGTAAAAATTCTGAGTGACCCTGCCCCCATCTATTCTCTGCTTCCCAAGTCCCAGCTGATTGGGAGGAAATGGGGATTTTGTAGTATCCTTCCCCTGGAGTGGAGTGGGAATGGAGATTTTACAGTATTCTTCCCTGCCATGCCCACCAAGCCACACCCACAGAACTGGTAGTAAGCAATGCCACCCCACCAAGCCACACCCACAGAACCGGTAGTAAAATATTTTGAAACCCACCACTGCTGAGGAAACAATGCAAACACCATCTTAATAAACCAGTAAAACTGTGAAGAAATTCTGAAACATCATAAAGTATTACTAAAGCAAAAAGGCATCTGGTTTTTACTTAACTTCTATAAAATTTGTGTTGAAAAGCAATGCTTTTGATGGAACTGCTAGATATATTTCTTTCAAGAAGCAAAACCAACAAATTTGATTAGGTTTCTATTTGGAATAAAGATAATATATGAGTAAAGTGTTTTTCCTTTGATATATTATTGCATTTGCTAGTATTTCTGTAGTGAAAGATTTAAGAACTGGATGTATTTATAAAGAAAAATTCTTAGTATATATAAATACAGGTGTCATGATAATTGTAGGTTTCGCTCTGTGACTCATTTGGGTTTTTTTATATGAAAATATTTCCTTTCCCCAGTATTATGCAAAAATCATATCTTTCTAATGTAGTTCATCAACAGTTTGGCTCCTCCATTGAGTGCTTGCCTAAGGCAGGACAACAAGTAGACTTTGGTCACATGTAGGTCCTAGCTTTAATCTAACCTTTTTGTAACCAGAACATCACACCACTGAAAATCAACCTGTGATGAATTGCCAATTCACAAGTGATTTTTTTTGGGGGGGGGGGGGGTTCTTGTAAAATAAGGATGAAAATACGGTACTTAGCCTTTGTTTCAGTTAGTGGCCCATATTGTATATAAAACACTAAATTTCTCCCAAAAATAAGCTGCAAAATTTGGCTGTACCTCTTTCTTTGACATCATTGTCCCATTAAAAAAAGCAGTTGGCTTCCACAGGTCAAAAAGACAGAGTTTGTAATATTCCTTGGGAACCATATAATATGGAGCATGTGAGCTACTGGGAGGCTTGTAACAAAGGCTGAATTTAACATGGTGATGATTTTCATGGACATTTTTATCTACACCGAGAACTAATTTCCTTTTAGGGCCTTTTTTTTTTAACCTAAAGGCAACAAGACATTTAGAAACCACTCCATGAAGTAGGATTAGAGAGATCTTTTAATCACCATGTAATTCAGATTGCTAGGATTACTCAAGAGGTCAGTTATGGGAGCTCTGCAATTATGCTGCCTCACCTGTATTTATACACTTTGAACCACAGAGAATGTAGGTAATTCTGAATTTGCCTTAGAGGGTACTGTAATGTTGTAAATTGGCTAGAATCATTTAAATCAGAGTCCCAAATCATTTTTCATTTTAGTTCGTTTAGGACAACAAATCCCAGACTTCTCATTCAACATGGCTAGATTTGCTGGGAATTTGGGGGCATTGAAGTTGCAATTCACCTGGAATAAGCTAAACTGAGAAAGACTGCTCTTAATAGAAAAAATAATCCCTATTTAGGAGCAGAAAATTGGTACCAAATCAATAGCATATGGGGGAACAGAGAGTAGCAGAGAAAAAAATATAACGTGCAATATTGGCAGGGAATTCAATGATGAATTTGGAAATACTGAAATAGACTGAACCTTTCAATGGTGAATAAATCTCTTTAATGATTGTAGATTAGGCAATAAAGGCCTGATATGGAACCACCATAGGGTAGAAAAGGTTAACAGAGACCTATATATCTCAGGGGTTGGATGTCGGTAACTTTGTTCAATGATACACATGTTTTCCTTCCTTTTTGGAAAAAAGTTTTAAAAAAAATCCCTTTCAGAGTTCCCTCTTTCTAATCGTCTGTGTTTTGGAACCTGTGGGTATGCGAGATAATGAGACTACAGGAAGTTCTTCCGTAGACTTCTGAATAGATTGTTGAAGTTCTGTGTTGAATTCCATCTGGTATTTTTATTTTGTTGTGTGATTGATACTGACCTCCTTTAGTTATTCTTAATTAATCATCAATTAATCATTCTTTAATTAACCATTTTCAATAATAATTATAATATTTATTAAACTTTGGAGGACTTAATGAACCTGTTTTTATATTTCTTCAAACTATTCCCAACAGGAGGGAATGGAATAGCTTCTAGCATTATCCTTTGAAGCTGGGTGGCCCAGGGCTTATTCTCAGTTGTAAGCTTTATTTTTTCAACCCAGTTAAGAGAGTTTTTAGGGAGCCCTATTGACCCTAGGTAGAAAAACCAAAGGGAGGCCAGGCCAGTTGGTCTCTAGCAAACTAAGTGGTGGCAGCTGCATTACAAACACACAACTCTGACAAAGTAGGCAGAACTAAGATGAAGTCCGACCAGGTGAAATGTTAGCTAGGAAGCCTAAGAAGCCTAATTCACCTTCCTTAGACCACTGCTTATTACAAAGTTTTTAACACAGGGGGAAAAAATGCAGCACAAAAAGTTTTGCAAATCATGGTTCATTTTATGCCATTCACACTTGCCGGAATAAATGCTACATATTTGACATTGATACATTAAATACATAATATTTAATACATTTCTTACCTTCCTTAGGGAATGCTTATTGAAGGACCTCCAGGACCTCCAGGACCGCCCGTAAGTATATGCTTTCTAAATATAATTTAAATAAAATTATTGATACTATTAACAAAGATAGTTGGCATCAGGGCTCATATGTATATAACATAAACTTTCATTGAGTACAGATTGTTCCATCTGGAAATGGTGTCGTTTACCTATCTGTGTGTTTTTGTTTCTGTTGGGCAACCATTACTAGCTCACACATTCTGCCAGTCCTTGATCAAAATTGCTCCTAAGCATTGTCATAAAAAGTTTTTTAGGATAACTAATATATATATGTATATATTGCCTTTATTTATAGGGTCTTTCGGGCCCCTCTGGTATGCAAGGCCCCATTGGTCCTCCCGGTGATCCCGGTGATAGGGTAAGTACGTCTCCATGAGTTGCAAATGAGCAGCCCAAGCATGCCAGATTGAATGGCTGAGAATGTAAACAATTCTTAAGGAAGCGCAACTGTTTTGTAATTTCTTACTATAGCTTAAAGAAACACTCTTGTGTTTTGCAAAACCATTATGTAAATAAAATACCTTCATTCTGATAATGAATTCAGTTGTTTTAGTTTATTATTTATTTATTTATTTATTTAGACTTCTATACCGCTTCATAGTGCTTTACAGCCCTCTCTAAGCGGTTTACAAAGTTAGCATATAGCATATTGCATATTAGCATATTGCATTAGCATTAGCATATTGCCCCCAACAATCTGGGTCCTCATTTTACCCACCTTGGAAGGATGGAAGGCTGAGTCAACCTTGAGCTGGTGAGATTTGATCTGCTGATCTGCTGAACTAGCTGCAGTACTGCACGCTAATCACTGTGCCCCACCTCAGCTCATTAGTTGATTCATTGCAGGTCATAATTGATACTCTTCTAATGAGAAATAATGAGATTTTTAGAGGTTCTCCAGGATAGTGTTAGATCCTTTTTGTCGCTGTGCAGATAGGACATGTAGGGCCTTGAGTCTAAATTCTGCCACCTAAAGGTCATCTCATAGAGTTGGTGGAGGGGATGGGATATCCTGAAGGCTTCAGATTCTCCAGGTCTCCCGAAAACAAGTCCACATTACTGAATATGTTCAGGGTGACTGAATGTAAAGGAAAATGTTATCAGTGGTGCAAATGAAAGTCGGAAGACAATCTCCATTATCTAGCTTTAAAAGTCAGATTAGCAGATGTCTTGTTATTTCTGGGTGACTTTTAGTGATAACAGGTGGATGAACTGGAAATGTAGCTGGCTTTCTCTTTCTGTTTGTTTTGCTTGCTATTACATCTGAAGGATAACTGTTCACATCTCTTGAGATAAGAGATATCTAAGGCCTTGTTATTAGTCTTCTGGTACGGCAGATTAGTACAGGTTAATCTGTTTGCCCTTCCTGATTTCCCACTTAATCTTTAAATATTAACCACAAATATTTTTAGCATGGTAAGTCTGCACCACTCTTGTTCCCATCATGTCCCTTCTTTGCTTTGTCTTCTGTGTGCTGTAATTGTATTGCAGCATTTTGAGATTTCCAATACATGATGATACATTAAGGGCAGAATTGCATAGATCTTTGGATATTATCAACATAAAACCACATATGTATGTAATGATATTTCTGCAACAATCCACCAATTTATCAAATAGAAAACTGAAATGACAATATCAAAAGCAAGGCAGCTCAGCCATTAGCTTCGGCAATTGAAACCATTAGTGTGCAATCTGAAAAAGAATACTTTATTAACTTATGATGCCTAGACATTTAGAAAGTTTCTGGAATCTGCCTACAACTTTTTCAGATAAAGAAGTGATAAGCGCTAGGTCACCTTATCCTAGATATTGAAGGAACATGGGAGATAAATCATTGCTAATCTTACCCTTGCCATGCTGTTTCACACTGTAATTTTTTTATTCTGAATGTGTCTCCAGGAGTTGTATAGTCATACTTATGTATGTACTTGATGCTTATTCTTACAAAGAAGATCCTAGCTGAGTTTATTTTCCCCTCAAAATTCTGTATTGTGTACAGGTAGTTCTTGACTTACAACAGTTCACTT